GGACTTACAACGCTAGAAATCTGGTTTCGATACCCGTGGTGGGCATAACACAGATAGCCCATTGTGTAGCTTTGTGCAAACAAAACCAAACGGTTTAAATGATCTTAACGTTTTTGTTTTGTTTTTTCTCTTTTATTGATGGTGGCGGGGTAAAGTGTGTTAAAGTGTTAAGTGGCTAAACACGTCATTTCATAGAAATAATTCGTATAAATCTTATCTTCCTTGTCGCAGAAATCCACTGTTACACTCTTACACGGTAAGATTAGCCGAATATTTTACTTACTGTTTTATATGGATTTATTTATTACATCAACGCATCTTTTTTTTAAGAAGTTTGTCAATATAGATGTTTTTACAGATATGTGTATGGTTACTTTTAGCTTGTTCTTCTTTTATCATATGTTAGTGCCATTTTTTCTATCAGTTTTCCTTAATGTTCGGACAAGTTCAATATTATTTCATACATCTTGCTCAAATCTAATTAACAGTTATATCAACGTCGATTTTTAAGTTTTCTGTAAGTACTCTTGTGTTTATACACAAATTTTAAGTAAACATAACTATTAATGGCTGGAGACGGCTTAAATGGGTAATGAAGAAAAACTTTAATATAAGTTTAACATTACCCATTTAAGCCGTCTCCAGCCATTATTAGTCTCAAAGTGGGTTCCTCGTCATCGAATTTAAATTCTTACTTATGTATGAATATTTAAAACTTTAAACTGTGAAAAAAAAGGTAATGTTTTTCCGGTGCAGGATATGTCAAGCTGTAACATATTTGCTCGTTGCAACAAATAAATATATATATATGTGTGTGTGTGTGTGTGTGTGTTCCTTTTGAAACGTCGTAACTGTAACACGTTCTGATATCTCCAATTCCATCACAGATAAAGTTTGTCACGTGACCGGTCTGAAGCAACGCCCATTGAATAATAAGTAGGCCGCTATCACATATACATGGTTTTTAAACATCTACAACGCAAAACTTCATGCAAACCTACAATGTAACTATGGAGCACAGTATGACGTATTAACCTGTTAAAACGATATTCAAGCGCA